TTCGCCAGGATATGAGTTTTATCAACGGTGTCCCGCTTTACCAATGTTAAAATCTGGTCACCTTAGTTAAAGGGTTGCAGCATTAGGAAGGTTGAGAACCACTGCGTTAGAGGTAGGCTAAGGAGACAATAGTTACTTTGTTTGATAGATGAGAAACAGGTGAATTCTCTTCTCTGAACATACTATGGTCATCTTTGGGAGAAAAAAAAAACCCTTTCCGCTTCTGCTAACTTCACAGCAATCACTCTGACAATATTTTTAGCTCTTTGAACACTTTGGGGAATTGCATAATTCACTCATAATATTTCATGGGAATTTAGGCCATAGCACAAAGCTGAAACGAATGACAGGATCTCATCCTGTAGTTGGTTGGCACTTTGTCCCTTTATGCTGTATTTTTGTTGATTGAAGTAACAAACACAAGGGAGTAAAGATGTAGTATTTCATCAAAAGTATAATGAGTAAGTATTACAAGCATAATTCTATGTAATATTTTTATACCTATGGACGGAAGGAACATTACTACAGTTGCCTAAAATATGCTGTTGTGCAGAAGACTGTTAAAAAAGAGTAAGGAACGTAAATGTATGATTTCCACATTGGGTAGCTGTTCAGCCGCCCACCTTAGAACCCTGATTACAGGGCCATTTTAACCCAGATGGCTCTGATACCGCGGGGATGGATCATGACCACAGAAGCCAGCTTGAAACTGAGTGAGTGGTGTCTCAAGGGCTTCGACTTAAGCCCAGCGGGCCCCAGTTTATTTTCAGTAGCAAACTTGGTTGACAAGTCTCACCTATCAGTAGAAGAGCTCCTGCTTGCTAAAGGAAAGAGTATCCTACCGCCCGCTTCCATCATCTCCCCACTTAATCCTCCTTTTCCTTTCCTGGAGCACCCAGGTGTTGAGTGGCTCTCGCCCCTCCGCTGGCCTGCTCCATCTGACCTGTTTTCAGTCCTGAACCACCTGTTGTCATCGTGGTCTCCAACAACCTCTTCCTCCCTCTCGCACATCTTCTTAGCTCTCCCTTCCCCAACAACCAAATCCCAATGTAGAAATTAAGTCATGTTTTTAAAGAAAATAAAACTGACTTCTTTGGGCACATGCAGCCAGCCAGGAAGTATAAAAATGCCTAACAGAGCACTCATGGTGTGGGGATACAAAGAAAATAAGAATATAAGAACATATTTTTTAAATGATCAAAGTAATTGAGTAGACATTTCTACAATGGTCCATAATCACATGACAAGACACTCCAGCAATGTATCTAAAATGAATAAAGCCCACAATGAGATGCCCCTACACAGCCACTGAAATGGTGATCGTCAAGAAGCTAATACCAAATGTGGAGGGATGTGGAGAAGCAATGCTGTCGCACATTGCTGGTGGGCGGTGTTTCCACTTAGAACGCA